CACGATCAGGCTCACTGGGGGAAACACATACTTGCGTATGCCCCGAGGCCAGCTGTGGGCCAGTGCATCCGTGCCGAGAGGGCCCTCGGTCAGGGAATAAAACAACTGGCAATGAGCGTTCTCGGGGTAGGCAAACAGATCGATCTGGGCCTCCCCGAATCGCGCCCATATCAGCTGAACAGAGTGAATCTGCTGCCGTGAGAGCGCATCGGCTGCACGGTTGAGCATACCTGGGATGTGAATGGCGCGCATGGACTTCAGCCGCGGGTGACTCCAGAGGAGCAGACGGCGGGCGAGCTGAGACATGCGGCGAGAGCGCATACCCCCCATGTGGTTGATATACGATATACGCTGCCGCCGCCGTACTGACCAGCACGTGTTGCTGCTCCAACACCGGAGAAAAACGGCGGAGAGCAAGGAACACTGCCAACAGCTCTAGGAGATTGATATGCCAATGCAGCTGGGCACCTTTCCATGGGCCCGCAGCTGCATGCCCATGACACACAGCTCCCCAGCCTGTGCTTGAAGCATCTGTTGAGACAACAACATGACTGGACACCTGTCCCAGAGGCAAACCGGCCTGCAGGAACGAGGGGTCATTCCAGGGGCTGAGGGTGCGGCGACACAGCGCAGTAACAGAGACTCGGTGTGCGCCCGCATGCCATTCAGCCGCAGCGGAAGCCATATGCCCCAGGAGCCTCTGAAAATTTTTCAGTGGGACCACTATTTTGCTGTCGAGCTCCCTCAGACAGTTCAGCAGCAGACGAGCGCGCTCTCCGGAGAGGCGTGCTACCATGGTGACCGAGTCCAGCTCCATCCCGAGAAAAGAGATCCTCTGCACCGGGGCGAGTTTGCTCTTTTCCCAGTTGACCTGGAACCATAATAGGCGAATTTAGCCCACTTACTTGCTCCCGTAAGTGGGCTAAAATCAGCCAATCGTCAAGATAATTGAGTACGCGGATGCCCGCGAGCCGAAGGGGTGCTAGGGCACTCTCCGCGAGTTTGGTGAAGACCCGTGGAGACAGAGAGAGCCCGAAGGGGAGGACCTTGTACTGCCATGCTCGACCTTCGAACGCGAACCGCAGAAACTGACGGTGTCGCGGAAGAATGGAGACATGAAAATACGCGTCCTTCAGGTCTATGGCTGCAAACCAATCCTGAGGACGGACGCATCGGAGGATGCGCCTCTGCGTAAGCATTCTGAACGACAGCTTGTGAAGGCTGCGGTTCAAAATGCGCAGATCTAGGATTGGCCGTGACCCACCGCTCTTTTTGGGTACGATGAAGTACGGGCTGTAAAACCCGCTCTCCATCTCGGCTGGAGGTACTGGCTCGATTGCACCCTTCGCCAGGAGGGCAGCAATCTCCTCTCGCAAGACGGGGCGGACAGAGGATTGACCCTGGTGAAATACACGCCCGTGAACTTGGGAGGCCGTTTCGAGAACTGAAGTTCGTAGCTGAGTCTGATTGTGCATATGAGCCACCACAAGGGGCTGGCCCGCGCTAACCAGGCAGGCAGAGCCCTCGCTAATGACGTCATTGCAGCAATCGCTGACGTACCCGCGGAGGGGCAGCACGGAGCGGGTTAGCTGATCTGGGGAGCGCAAGGGTCCCACAGAAGAGCTGGAGGAGAGCAATTCGCTCTGGCTCTGCACCCTGACTCCGGAGAGGGGGCTTGGGGGCTGGGAGAAGGGAGACCGTCCCCCCAGCGCCCGTCAGCCGCTGGCGGAGCATGCAGACCCTGTGAGTTGAGAGGCATCGCGTCCCAGACTGGCAGGGCTTGAGCTGTGACATCCAGGGAAGGGGAAAAGTGCTCTTTTTCTGAATTTTTGGTGGCACTGAAAAGTACCGGGGAAAGAGCAAATTTCCTCCTCTCCGGATGGCCTGTCTCAGGGGCGCTTCGCGGTCCGTTTACTGGACTTAGCGGCGCCCTGGGCAGGAGGGGCTGCCGGCTTTCGGCGTGCTCGACGTGCCCGCTTCACCGGAGGCGGGGGCGGGGTAGCGGCTGTTGGCGGGCGCCCTCGGCGAGGAGCAGAGGAGGTGGATAGCTCGGCGGGGGACGGAGCGGGCTTACGGTCCCGCCGATAGATGACATTGCCCATCGCATCCGACTGCTCCTTCACCGCCTTGAACTCCTGGCTGAATTCACCGACGGTGTCGCCAAACAGGCCAGCCTGGGATATGGGTGAGTCAAGAAAGCGAACTTTGTCAACATCACGCATATCAGCCAGGTTTAGCCAGAGGTGGCATTCCTGGACCACAAGTGTGGACATCGTCTTCCCCAGCGCACACACGGCGGATTTAGTAGTCCGGAGAGCATAGTCGGTCACGGTGTGCAGCTCGTGTAACAAGCCTGGGTTAGACCCACCCTCGTGCAGCTCGGCCAGCGCCTGCGCTTGGTAGCGCTGGTAGGTGGCCATCGCGTGCAAGGCGGAAGCTACCTGGTCTGCAGCCTTGTAAGCTCTAGCTCCGAGGGAGGCAGATAACCTACAGGCTTTGGATGGGAGACGGGGCGGACCGCGCCAAGTAGGGGCGCTACGCGGACAAAGATTGACCGCAATGGCGCGCTCCACCTGCGGGATCGCCTCATACCCCCTGGCAGCTCCACCATCCAGGGTGGTGAGGGCGGAGGCGGACGCAGCGCGGGCAGAGAAAGGTGCCCTCCAGGACTGCGTGAGCCTACTGTGTACTTCCGGGAAGAAGGGGACGAGAGGCTTCAAAGGCTTCGCCTTTTGGTCCTCTACATAATACCCATCTAGTCGGTCCGGCCGCAGGGCTGGGGGAATGAACCATCTCCAACCCGACGGCCGAAGCAGCCCGAGAAAGCACGGCCAACATGTCTGCTTCAGGATCCGTTTTGACGGCACTCGCTTGCCCAGAGGGGGAGAGCGGGTCCGGATCATTGTAGGACAATGAAAGCCCACCCTCCGATGCCGCGGAGGACATCTGATCTCCGGTGTCAGCGAGCGTGAGAGCTACCATCTGGTTAGACGGATCACTCCCAGTACCCGAAGCTTGGATGGAGCGCTTGGAGGAGCGAGAGGTCCGCGAGCCCTTAGGTGTCGGATCATCTCTCGCTGGAACCCTCAGATCTGGCCGAGCGCCCGCTGCAGAGCAGGAGGCGACTGGGATGGCTCGCTCTCTTACAAAAGTTAGCCGTGATCTCAACTGCGCGACGGTCATGGCATCGCAGTGACGACATGAACCGCCCCCGAACACCACATTGACATGCTGGACCCCCAAACATGTAATGCAGTGATCGTGCCCATCATCCGGAGCCAGGAAACCCCCGCAACCAGAAACGCACAGTCGGAGCACCATCCTGAAAAGGACGTGCTGCACGACTGTGTTGCTCTTTTAGGAAGCTTTGCAACAATACGTACCGATCTGGAGGACCGGACCCAAAGGGACGCCAGGCAAGGGAGAAAACCCAGCTCGACCGTCTTCCGCTACGTGGACTCGCTCTGGACCGGGAGACAGACTCGTTCGCTCGATGTGGCTGTAGCTCAGCAAGAGGAACCCTCATGAACTCGATCAGAAAAGTCTCTGAAGCGAAAAAGATGGCGTTTGCTGGCGCCAGGTGTGCTTATATGCTCAGTTAATTGGCAATGCAGCACACCTGCACAAGCTTAAGCTGCCAATTCATTGCTTTCATTGGCCCGTTCAATACTCTTTCAGACATGCGGCTTCTGAACCGAATCCTCCCATACGTGGATTTAGAACATCAAATCCACTTATAGCACTGGATTTCCCCAACCGAAGGGGAACTTCAGTTAAGCTATCTGCCTTCCACAAACAAGTGCTCATCATGGTCATTGATCTATATGCATAATTTCTCCCCACATCGTTGTTTATTTTGGAATAATATACAATTCATACAAACGCAAATCTCTTTTTTTATTTGGTTTGACAAAAAAGTTATTGTTTAGTCTGTCATATAATAAAGATGGTATACTTTTCTTACAATGAAGTCCTTATTCATTACTAAGGGTGTCACGATCCTCCAGATCCTCGATTTGATTACATTTTCGATTCTAAAGGCACGATTTAATTCAATTTTCGATTATGAATAATTAAATAATTAATGACAAATTAATTATTTGTAGCCTACCGTTTAAATTACCTGACCTGCATGTTCTTTGTTTTACCCATAAACAAATCATACAGTAAATGAATAAAGGAAAGATACACACATAATTACCACCTGTCAATCACTTTTTCTGCGGGACTCGTGAATAGGCAGTGATCTGTGTCGTTATAATGGCGTTGGTAAAAAAGACCCACAACCAACAGGAACCAGCCAACAGTATCTGAGGTGTTCGCTAAAATGACTAGGTACAAGAGAGTGAAATATTGAAGCAGTCCTCTGACTGCCTGGACCTGCTGTCTCGAGTGCATGACTGTGTGTGCGTCTGTGTCTGTGTGTGTGGTCACGTGATGTGCATTTTCAGAGGTAGAGAGGAAGGACGGCTGCTCAGAAATGTTACACGCCACTGTGGATGTCAAATCGTTGTTGTTCTAAAATGCCATTTAAAAACAAAGACAGCGTAAACAGGGCCTGAGTGTGTACTTTCCGCGAGCGGATTTGCAATGGGGGCAGGCGGAGGATCCCGATGCCGGTGTTGTCTATCGGACGAACCGTACGTAATAAGTACATAGCAGAGCTTGCAAAACTGTTTTTTTTTTGTCGACAATACGAAAGTTGTGAACATAACTCACTGGAAATCCTTGAAAAATGCTTACACACCGGCGACTTCATTGCAAGAGGAGAGGGTTTAAGTTCTGTCGACGGGTCTCCTGCTTCTGCTGTTTAACAAGCACTTCAACAAGCCTGTTTTTTTTTCCCGCTTGGCAAGCCAAGCTGACGTGACATGGGGGCGTGGCAGCATCGACGATTTTATTTTTTGATTCGATAATCGAAACTGAGCAAAAATTTTGATCGATTTCGACACCCCTATTGTAGCAGCCCTTGATTTTCTTTAAACAAAGCAGAGAGTCTCTGACGGGTGTAAAGTGATTTATTTTGGAACCAGCATAAACACCGTGAAAACTGGAAGTAAACACATAAATTGCAAAGCAAATTTACAATAAATTACTACAAATTTACAGTGCATTATCATGCAGCTGCACACAGAACAACAAAGGAGCTATGTAAAGCAACATATACACAATAATTCACTTAGTTGACAATTTTAAAACACAAAAGTTTCCAAAAGTAAACCATTTAGACATTTACATCATAATTTGAAACACAAACATAAATTACACACCTCACTCCGCTCACCAAGGGATGCTAGCTTAAACACGTAGCTTCAAGTAATGTGATGGTCATCTGGCTAAACACACGAATGTAAACATGAGATAATGCAACAAAAACAAACAAACAACATTATAATGCACACGATCGTGCTTAGAGAACTTGCATTAACTTACATTTCTCACGGGAATTTAATCACCAAGCTTCTGGGATGAGATCGTTTTGATGAGTGTGGCATGGTATGAATTATACAGGTTCCGGGGTTTGCTTTAAAGCCATTAACCTGAATAAGGTGAGTGAAAAATTAACAACCTATAGCGGCCTCTTGTGGCCCTTTACACTCCCACCAATCATGTAATGATAACTGAATTTAGCAGGAAAAACTAAACAAGAAAAACAGTTACTCATACATGATTTCTAGGCAATAATGAATAACTATTGGTATAGGTCACAAATACGATAAGGGTCACCCTATGTCTGTTAGTCAAACATATCTGACGTAAGTGTATCTACAAGATTGACAGATCATCATTCATCTTCAAGGAGGAGCACTAGCTTTTGGATTGGTCGTTCGATGATTGTGGGCTTAGAGCAATGGGTCTGTTTCTGTGTTAATTTTCGCTCCCCAGCTTGTACTTTTACTCGACGCACTAAGCCATCACTCCCTTCTGTTGTCTCGACCACTCGTCCTAGTTGCCACTGGTTCCTTGGAAGTGAATCTTCCTTGATGATGACTATGTCATTTACTTTCAAGTTGCGCCGGGGTACATGCCACTTTTGTCTAGTGGACTCGTTCATGAGGTATTCCTTTTTCCACCGGCTCCAGAACTGTTCAGTTAAATATTGTACCCTTCGCCATCTCTTTACAGCGTACATATCCTCCTTGACAAACTTTCCTGGAGGTGGTAATGCTACCTTTGACTTCATCAAGATAAGGTGGTTTGGAGTCAGGGGTTCTGGTGCCATGGGATCATTGATTCCATCAACATTTAATGGACGACTGTTGACAATAGCCATTGCTTCGTAGAACAGAGTTCTAAGGGAGGCATCATCTAGTCTACCTGAACACTGGGCAACTGTAACATTCAGCACACTTCGAATGGTCCGAATTTGTCGCTCCCACACACCACCTGCATGACTCGCTGAGGGAGCATTGAAAGTGAACTCACACTGTTTATCTGCCAGAAAAGCTTTCAAAGCCTCTGTATCACATTGCTTGGGAGCTTCTTTAAACTCATTCTTCGCACCCACGAAGTTTGTGCCCTGATCACAGCGTAGATGACTAACTGCTCCTCTAAGACTGATAAAACACCTCAAAGCATTAATAAATACGTCTGTTGACAAGTCATCAAGCATTTCTAGATGGATGGCACGAGAAGACAGGCATGTAAAAATCAGTCCATATCTCTTATACTCTTTGCGACCTCGCTTGGTAACAAATGGGCCGAAGCAATCCATTCCACAGAAAGTGAAAGGGGCGGAGACTTCACAGCGTTCTCTTGGGAGTTCAGACATCTGTTGCTCCTCAGTTGGTCGTCTGAGTTTACGACATTTCACACATCTGTGTATTAACTTGCTGACTGATTTATTTGCACCTATGGCCCAAAATCCATTGGCCCGAAGCTCCATTAAGGTCTGACTCCAACCCTGGTGGCAGACCTGGGCATGATAGTGAGCTAAGAGCAGATTGGTGATGTGGCTGTCTTTTGGGAGAATAATGGGATGTTTTAGTTCTGAACTGAGGGTCGAACCTGTTAGTCTTCCACCAACACGTAGAAGTCCCACATCCAGAATGGGGTTGAGGCGGAAAAGAGGACTTGAACTTAGAATAGTACTCCCATGAAAATTCTCTTGAAGTGCCTTCAGCTCTTGGGGAAAGGCTTGCTGCTGAACGAGCTGATACAGCATTTCCGCAGCCTTTCTACGTTCCGTGACAGTCACAATTTCACCATGATGTTTAAGTTTGGACCCAAGTCTTTTGATCCTGGCAACCACCTTAACAAGCATTGTCCAGGTGGAAAATCGACTCAGACGGCTAAGAATGTCCTTCCTGTCACTGATTTGGGTTGACAACACCTGAATGGATTTGACTTCTGGATCCCCTGTTAGCAGCTCAGTAGAAGGCTTAGGCATAGGATGCACATCCTGTTCCCATAGAAACTCAGGCCCTGATAACCAGCTAGATGAAGTGATGGCTGAAGCATGAAGACCCCTAGAGGCGTGATCAGCTGGGTTTTGTGCTGTATCCACATAGTTCCACTGATTTGGGTCAGTGATTTCTCTAATCAGTTGAACACGGTTCGCCACAAATACATGGAAACGTCGAGCCTCATTGTTGATGTAAGCAAGTACAACTTGGGAGTCTGTGCAGAAAAATTCTTGCTCGATCTTCATCTCGAGTTCCGCCTTCAGCATAACACTCATCCTGGCTGCGGTGACTGCAGCTGAGAGTTCCAATCTTGGAATGCTTGTAATCTTTGTGGGGGCAACTCTCGCTTTGGCCATTACAAAGCTGCAATGAATCTCATTTCTGTTGTTTTGGTACCTGAGATACGAACATGAGCCATATCCTGCATTACTGGCATCAGCGAAATGGTGTAATTCCACTCTAACAATTTCACCAAAGTTCTGTGGATAGTAACATCGCGGAATTGCAATTTCCTTTAGTCTCTGCAAACCATTCTTCCACTCCTCCCACCGTGAGCGCAAGTTCTCAGGAATAGGATCATCCCACCCAATACCTCTACAACACAGTTCTTGAAGGATGTGCTTGCCACTTAGTGTGAAAGGAGCTACGAACCCAAGTGGGTCATACAGAGATGCTATGACAGATAAGAGACCACGGCGTGTTGGGGAGTGATCCTTTACACTAGTATTGAAGCTGAAGGTGTCATTTTCTGATGACCACTGAATGCCAAGTATGTGTGCCCCTGCAGCAGGATAGGGTTTAAGATTGAGAGGATCAGTGTTCACTGCCCTTTCTGATGAAGCTACACAGGAGAGGACCTCACTTTGATTTGAATTGAACTTATGCAGACGTAGCCCTGCTCCTTTGCACAGTTCCTGTGTTTCAACAATGAGTTTCTTTGCTTCTTTGACAGTTGGGACACTTGTTAACCCATCATCCACATAGAAGTTATTTTCCAGAAATGCTGAAGCAGCAGGGTAATTCACCTTGTGTTGCTGTGCCAGATACTTAAGACAAACGTTGGCACATCCAGGGGAGGATGCAGCCCCAAAAAGGTGGACTGTTATTCTGTATTCTTGAGGTTCCCTTTCAAACAGTCCGCCTTCCCACCAGAGGAATCTTAAGTAGTTGCGAACTTCGGGTGAGACACTGAATTGGTGGAACATCCGTTCGATGTCACAGATCACAGCAACTGCTTCCCTTCTAAATCGACAAAGAACTCCCAGCAAAGGGTTTATTAAGTCAGGGCCTGTCAGTAGAGTGTCATTCAGAGAGATCCCACGAAACTTTGCAGAGCAATCAAACACAATTCTTAATTTGTCTGGCTTCTTGGGGTTGTATACACCATGATGTGGGATATACCACACAGTCTCGTCGTCAGAAAATGGCGGTGCTGGCTCCGCATCACCTATCTTGAGAATTTCTTCCATGAAGGCTGTGTAATGATCAAAATACTGTTTGTTGTTCATTAACTTCTTCTTTAGGTGTTGCAACCGAACAGTAGCCAGTTTCTTGTTGTTTGGGAGAATTGGTGGACTACTACCCTTGAAAGGGAGTGGGATCTCAAAGTGGCCATCCCCTTTCTGCTTAATTTTTTCATTTAGAAGCTGTATGAAGCGAACCTCATCCTGTGACACATACTTCTCCTCATAACTCCTCTCATTAAAGTCTGATTCCAGTGCTTTCAGCACGTCGATGGCAAGTGGCTTTTCCTTTACCGTGACACGATGCACAAAGGTTTCGTTTCCACATCTATCCAAGTGGGGATTGGCTGACCCTATTATGCTCCAGCCTAGCGTTGTCCTTTGAGCAAAAGGTTCATTTTCATTGCCTGTGACAACCTCCAAAGGAGCCAGTGCTGATGGGCAATCGTAACCAATTAGCAGACCAACCTCACAATCTTGAAGTGGATGCAACTTGTTCATTAGATGCTTCAAATGAGGCCACTGGAGAGCCGTAGCTTTAGTAGGGATGTGAGACTTCTCAACTGGAATAAAGTCTCTTGTGTAGGTCTGCTTTAGTTGGATGTAAGTTTCAGAGTTAAGTCCCCGAAGTTGTAAACCACAGGCAACTTTACTTGCTATGACTGTGTTGACAGCCGTCATTGTGCCAAGTTTAAGTTGCACTGACTGGGTGTTTACATTTAATTCGGTGACCAAATCTTCCAAGACAATAGTTGAGTCGCTTTGAGTGTCAAGTAAGGCATAAGTGAGAATTTCTTTCTGGGGATTTGTTGTTGATGACACAAGAACTGGTACTATGCTAGAGGTTGCAGAAACATGCTGTGTTAATGCATGGACCATCACTTTGTGGATTTCCTTGCTTGAGTGACCTCCAGTTGCTTTGGAATCTTTGCTTGTCGATTCAAGAGGGTTTCTGTCCATTTCTATGTGCAAGCAGGTTGGATGACGTCGACCACATGTATTGCAGGTGTGTCGCCTTCTACAGTCTTTGGTATTGTGCCCCTTCCTTAAGCATCCAAAGCATAGATGATTCTCATGAATAAATGATTTCTTTTCATCCATAGTCTTTGCTGCAAAGGATGGACATTTAACAACACCATGCGTTTCATCTTTGCAAACTAAGCAAGGTGGTTTTGGCCTGTAATTTTCAGGAGGACCTGAGATGGAAGTTTTTATTTGAATGCCTGTGTTAAGTGCTTTAGTTCTCTTAGGAAGTCTCTCGTCTGTATTTTTAACGTTCATTAGGAGTGGGGAGGCAATGGGGTTACACGCTATGCGGGCCTCAGTTTGCATAAATTGTGTGAAATGCACAAAACTTGGATATTCTCCAGATCTGTCTAGCTCTTCTACAACAATACGACTCCACCGGCGCATCATCCACTCAGGCAGCTTTTTAAGGAGCTTGTGATTTTCCTCACAATCATTTAGAATACCCAAACCCTTAACATGAGGCATGGCTTCGGCACAACCTTGAAGGAAATCTGCAAACTCTCTTAATGCAATGGGGTCATTTGCGGCTATCCTGGGCCACTTCATGAGCTTGTCCCTGAAGGCTCTTTGGACTACGAATGGGCTTCCATATCGATCTTGTAGAACTGCCCAGGCACCCTGATATGCCTCTTCTGAGTTTCTGTAGAAAAATCCTTCAACAGCTTTGCGCGCTTCTCCAGCAAGATAACTCTTTAAATAAAGCATTTTTTCACTAGCAGGGAAGGGCTTCTGATCAATTAGGGCCATGAAAGATATTTTCCAGTCTATAAACTTTAAGGGGTCACCAGTGAATGTAGTTGGTTCTGGGACTGGTAGTCGGCTTAAAGTAAGTGAGCTTGCAATTGCCTGAGCAAGACTCACCTCCTCCTGAGGCATTGGCGTTTTAAAATGAGCAGTATGAGGCTGGAAGGGTAATGCTTGTGGATTTAGTGGAGTTTGGAGAGTAGCATCTTGGCAGCTATACTGGGTTTTGTGGTCAGTGTCTTCTTCTAAACTCTCATGACCATCAAAATTGTTGTACGCTCTTACTCGTGCTGCTGCTACCTTCACTTCATTATCTGCTTGTAACTGTTGTAACCTAGTTTTTTCCACTTCCAACTTAACTTTCATTTCAGCCTCCTTTTTCTGGATTTCAGCTAACATCTGGGTTTCTTTGAGTTTCCATTCACTCTCCAGTTTGTCGAGTTTCGCTTGTTGAATGTGTATTTCTTGCATAGCTTTAGCCTGTTCTACTTTGGCAGCCAAGTCTGCTTCTGCATCTGCATGTTTGCTTGAAGACCTGGAGGTAGTGCTTGAGTTGTGATCAGATTCTTGTGATAACTCTGAAATTACTGTCTCTGTTTTTGTATTTCCAAAGACTGACCCATATTCTTCCTTATTTAGCACCATTCTCACTCTTTCTTTCTCTAGTTGGTCATTGAAAGCCTCGTCTATGTTTTCCATGCGTTCACTAACAAGGTCACATATCTCAGCTGTAAGAGTGTCACATGCATCCATTTTCTTTACAATATTTGGAGTAGTAGTATGATTGCGTCGAATGGGCTCATAAGTTTGGCGTACTATGGCTAGTTTAGATTTAACATCAGTTTGCATTTTATCAAGGTCCTCAGCTGAGCAGAATGCCTTCAGTTTTACTCTAACCTCCTTTGCTATAAGCTTCCAACAGTCATAAGCTTTGATGAATGCCTTTTCATTTTTCCTAGCTTCCTGATCATGTAATTGTTGGCCCTTTTCTGTAAAAGTACGTTCACGGGAGCTCGACCTGACCTCTGGGGCTTCTGAAAGGTTATCTGTATTCTCAGTAGGTGATGACATTGTATTGTTATAGTGGATCTGTTTATACTGTAAGGTCTTAAGGTATTTTACATCTAGACTCAAAACAAATGAGTGGTAAATTTAACTTTTCTCACGATATTACCACTTAAATTAGATGTTTACACTAATGAACACCCCAAGATATTAAACAGACAATGCAAATGTCATAAACGAGAATACACTAGATAATTTACGACAATTTTAGCCCTCAGGAATTATTAGAATCAAGATTTAGGATATTGTTATGTGACAATGACCTTAGCCACACTCTTTAACTTATTACTTGTCAGCTTTACAGATCTAGCATTTACAGTATTTGTCTTGCACACTGAAATCCTCCTTAGAATTGTTTAGCAAATGACAGTTCTTTGAGTATACTGTATCTTTGGTTGAGTTTACCCAGTTATTCAGCCAAAGTCTCTCACTGCAGCTGTGTCATCCACACAAGGACGGTGTGCATAGTATTAGATGTTCTTCCATCCGTTGATTAAAGATGTCCGCGTTGGTGGATGGCTCAGCGGTGAGTTTTCACTGTAGCAGCCCTTGATTTTCTTTAAACGAAGCAGAGAGTCTCTGACGGGTGTAAAGTGATTTATTTTGGAACCAGCATAAACACCGTGAAAACTGGAAGTAAACACATAAATTGCAAAGCAAATTTACAATAAATTACTACAAATTTACAGTGCATTATCATGCAGCTGCACACAGAACAACAAAGGAGCTATGTAAAGCAACATATACACAATAATTCACTTAGTTGACAATTTTAAAACACAAAAGTTTCCAAAAGTAAACCATTTAGACATTAACATCATAATTTGAAACACAAACATAAATTACACACCTCACTCCGCTCACCAAGGGATGCTAGCTTAAACACGTAGCTTCTAAGTAATGTGATGGTCATCTGGCTAAACACACGAATGTAAACATGAGATAATGCAACAAAAACAAACCAACAACATTATAATGCACACGATCGTGCTTAGAGAACTTGCATTAACTTACATTTCTCACGGGAATTTAATCACCAAGCTTCTGGGATGAGATCGTTTTGATGAGTGTGGCATGGTATGAATTATACAGGTTCCGGGGTTTGCTTTAAAGCCATTAACCTGAATAAGGTGAGTGAAAAATTAACAACCTATAGCGGCCTCTTGTGGCCCTTTACACCTATTCATTACAAAATCTTAATAACCCAGCATGTTTTCAACTGTTATTGGTTCAATTCCTTCAGAGACATGTTATTCATTCATGTTATTTAGAGCTATTAATAAGACCATCCTTATGATGCATCGTATTTTGATATTACTAAATCTTATGTTGGCAAATTTTGTTTTACAGTAAATACCAAGAGTAATAATAGAGCTATTCATACTCTTTTCCAAAAATAAGTCATTACTGTACCTTATATCCAATTTTAATGAATGTCTTTAATAAAGGGTGAATTGAATAAAAGTGTGGCTGTTACCACAGAAATATCATGTTTGAAATAGAATTAAAGAAATATCTTATAAACTTATACACAGGTTTTATCCAGCCAAACATTATTTGCAAAAATTTAAAAGTTGGATTGAAGTAAATTGTATTTTTGTAAAGAATATGAGAAGAAGGTTTAACACTTATTTTGGCATTGTACATAGTCAGCTTATGGGGTGACCAAGCGGCAACCTCCTGCTCTCCCTCGGGAGGCCAATATGGAAGTAACTAAAACTGCAATTCATCGAAAATCCGCTAGTCCTGGCTCCATAATAGAGCAAATTTCTACTGAGCCCACTGTTAGAATGGCCAACTTTACAGCAGAAAAAAAGGTGTTTATAGCCTGGTACAAAGAACGATTTTGGTTCATAAAGCTAATATTACCCTTCATGACAACTGTGAGGGGTGATTTTTTTTATAACTCATCAGTTTCCTTTATTTTAGGTTATATTAAATTTGCATAATTAAGGGCGTGGCCACTTGATTGACAGCTAGGTCTCGCTGTCGCCGTCACTTCACCTCAGCTGACTCCGGCAGATTAGCCACTGATTTTATATTGCATATTCATCATATTTTTGTTTTTTTTTATGTGGCTCTACACAGTCAGGTCCCTTTTGGGATTATTTCCTACAATTATCAGATGAAATAGAATGTTGTGTGCACTTAATTGTGATTAGCCACTGATTTTATATTGCATATTCATCATATTTTTGTTTTGTTTTATGTGGCTCTACACAGTCAGTTTCCTTTTGGGATTATTTCCTACAATTATCAGATGAAATGGAATGTTGTGTGCACTTAATTGTGCTCACAAATGTTATATACTTATATACCATTTCTAGAAATGGATTTGTTTTATTTAAGATCATTTGTCATTTATAATGTTCTTTAGAGCTGTAATGCACTGCAGAATCTGACAGATTGATTAGATTTGGACTGTATAAAAGTCATCTGAAGTGTTATCATACAAGAATTTAGATTTCATCAATATTCTTGCATTTACTAACACATACTTTATCTGAAGTGTTTGGAAGTATTCGCGTTTTCCTCCTGTGGGAAAACATCATAGGCTAAAAACAATGTTTAGTGGCTCAATGTATTACAGCAGTGTTTTTAAAAGACTAAACACTTTATTGATATAGTGTACAGCCATGCACATGTGGTCAGAATACAAACGAGTCGCAGGTGATAAAGTATTAAGTGTTTTACTTTTCCCAAAGTAAAGTGTGTCTAAGCCAGGTCCAAGCAAAATGCCAGCAGGTGTCTGTAGCTCCGCTCACTCTCTGCCTCTTTGCCCTTGTTTGGTATCCCGCTGTGAGTGCAATGACGAGTAAACAAAATGGCGACGGTTGGCTGCGCCTACTTGTGGCTTCTTT